CTCGCGCTATCTTTCATGGAGGAAAAATTTTTTTAAGTCACGAGAAAATTATGACTCGGTCTGTAACGTGATATCTTTATGACGTTGCCGATATAACGCGACACGGCATACTTGGTTAACGGATAGCTATAACGCAAAAATGAATACAGAATAGGTTCTTTCTTTGATCGAAAAAGATACTTTCCGCGCCGAAGACGAAATTGCCTCGGGAACCCGGCCGGTTTGGTAACGCGCACAGCCGCTCGTTATGTGTATAACACTTTTGTCAGAGTTCTATCTCTCTTTCTCTCTCTCTCTCTCTTTTTTTTTTTTTTTCTAAAGTGCCTCGGGCGAAAGAATCGCTTCTTTCTCGCGCGATCGAAACGGAACGGAGTCGCGGAAGACGCGCGCTTTACACTTCTTTACATCGAGCCGCGTTAACATCGTGTGGCCAACCGCCGATGTACGAAGAAACGGATAATCCCTTTTGTGCGAGCACGGGAAGAGTACGCAGAGAGCTTTCACCTCGAGGCGAGGCAGGTGCTCGTCTCCCGGCGTATAGCACCTCTTTTCCACACGATGTGTGCTTCTCGCCTCGAGATACCAAAGGGGAAGATGTTCCTCCCGGTCGGTGACATCGTTGACCCTTCGCGCCACATGGCACTTCGCACATGGCACTCTTAGCGGTATGTTCTACCGCATATTTTTATACACTTCGTATAGATGAAATTCGGTAACTGGAGGAAGGAGCCGGGAGGAGCACGCACCCGGATAGATTGCCGGTTGACTCGCGAGAATGCACCTGCACGCGATTGAGGCGAGCTGGATGTCGAAATTTTCAACGGGCTCGCTAACGGAAGACGGATTTTTTTTTTTTTTTAAGTACTCTGAGCGGATTCGGAGATATCTAGCAATGTAAAATTACTGCCAGAGAAGCACAAGCGTCGCATGCAATAATTTATTATAAATAGAAATTCTAAAGATATCGATCATAAAATATTTTCAATGAACCTTAAACGGAGTTATTATTTTCGAATTATTCGTCTCTCTATCAAGAGTAAATTGCAAAGATTCTTAAAATCGCAGAGTATAATATCGTTGAAAGAACATGATATTTTTTGATAAAAAGCAAATTGCATAAATTTTATTGGAAAGAAAGGCAATACAGTCGCCCCAAGAATTTATTAAGGCAACGCACATCAATTACATAACTACTCTTTTCGAGTAGTTACTAGTAATAATACGTCGTGACGTAAACCGTCATCGCGACAAATTGCGTCGCGGAAGGTTTACGCGCGAGAACGAATCATAAAAGCGATTGCGAAGCGTGGCATAAAAGTGCGACCCTTCTCTGCGCAACGACGTAGTTTAATCAGAAAACTGCAGGGGGAAACTCGCGGGGGACAAGTATCTACCTACCCTCCATTGCCTAGGATGTAGGGGCATTTAAGTAGATGGAGAGTATAGACCCCTGTCTACTCTCTCCATTTGTGTGTGCTTTCAGCCCGCGGGGGACCGCGTCGCCGATATATATCCCAATATTCCACGTAACAATGATGAATCACTGCGGAGCAGTCTCTCTCTTGCGCAAGAAGTTGCACTTCCAATGCGCTTGGTAAGGTTCTCTCCTTTCCCAGGGAGAGAGATACGGGATACACGAAGCCGCTTTAATTCGCGATATGTTTCTGCGTATCTCGCGCGGTTATGTAAACCTGATGTAAGTCGTGCCCGGACGTGAACACCGAGTTCCTTCGTCGACGAGCGAATTCCGGATCGATCCCTTTCGCGCCGCGTAATAACACGAGGTAGAAGGGGAGATGGAGGGAAAGGAAGAAAAAGAAACGGAAGATGATAGCGAATTTATTTCATCGTGCCGCCAAACGATATCGAACGCGAGAAAGAAACGTCCCATGTATAGAGCGATTTAAGCGTAACGAATAAAACTCTGCCAAAGAGAAAGGAAGAGAAACAGAGAGATGATATTATGCGACTCTTTTCTTTTTTACATATGAAATGTGGGATGGCTTTATTTTTTTATGGTAACGGTTGCGGGGAATATAATGCGCGGAATAACGCTTGCGCCCTTCGTGGCCTTATATTTGCGTCCGGTGTAATATTAAAAAGCGCAGAAGCTCTCGTTTCTACAAAATAGAGAGAAAAACAAGTTATCTCTTTTTGTTTAAATAAAAACACATGTTCTCGCTTAATCTTAGCAGGATCAATAGAATTCAAAGTTGCTATCATACTTTATTGCACTATAGTTGATATAATTTTAAGATTATTATAAAATCTTTAATTACTTTGACTTATAGATATATCTCTTGATCTATCTTAAGATAAGTATCTCGAATTGAGAAAAATATAATCCATCTTAATGATGTCGTCTTGAATTTAATCCTGTTAATTTAAAAATACGAAAATCAAGTGTCAAATTTTTTAGTAATATTGCGTCGATAAATTATTTTCTCAAAATATTAACTTTCTCGCCTACTTATATATAAACAGATATTAAAAGAAAAAAACAAGCTTTAAACATTAAATATCTATGAGACAGAATATACGTCATAATGACGAATCAGTTTGGTGCCGAGCTTGGTCTGGTCGGTCTTATTATTAATAAATTCGCTTCCCAAGCGACGTACTATGAATCATTCGATAGGCAACTGGGGAGATTCTATTAGACTGATTGGTTTGCATCTCTCTATGGTTGAATCTATGCCGATACATCTTTGTACCAACTAAGCACAAAATGCAACTGTCATCTTTGATATATTTAAGCTATTTGGAAAGAGTATATACATGTGAAAAATCTAGGGATGATATATTAACGTACTTGTGTCAATTTTATTCGATATTCCTACTTATAACACATAATTTTCTTCTTCTAATATTTCTAAATCTATAAATAACAAAATATTGCTAAATATGTACATCTTATAATCAAATTCCAAAAATGAGATAAAATTGATAAGTTCTCGTTTAATTTATGCAAAAATATATTAAAAAATCCATCAAATCTAATAATCTACTTTAATAATCTACTTTTATATTAAAGATATTATAGCGCAATTGCATAAGGGTTTGAGTGGTTCCGTGAAGGAGAATCCCATGATGGAAAACAATCGATTAGCTTGCTCTGAATTCGCGGTATTCTCCTCGGGCGACCCGTATCAGCATAATCCGATTCTGTTAAGCACCTTGATAGCAATGACAGAAACGCGCATGCAACATTCTCCGCGATTGACCTAGTTCGAAAGTCGATCGTATAAATTCAGAAAAGATTTGTCGTCGAAACGATAATGAATAGCATCATAGAGAAAATCTATAGAGATTAATACGATTTAAATTTAAGAGAGATGTATAAAAAAAAAAGATAATCACTTAATCGTTCGCATAATAAAGGCAACATTTATCAATTTATATGTAGCTTTCTCATCAGTAATTCATTTTCAACATATATTACGTCATTCTTGCTTAACGTTTATTCTTTATCGTGTTAGTTTTACGTTTCTGGCACTTAATCCCCTTCTCTCTCCTTAGTTTCATTAAACCGACTCTCCAAATAAGGCTAATCTGCGGACTTCCTCTTTTTACACCCTCGAAGGAATCAACATCGGCAACCGCAACAACTTAGCTTACGTTAAAAACGTACTACGCCCCGGATAGGATTAGCACGCCCTAATTTATTGACTCCCCATCACTAGAGCGAAATGGGGGGAGCTCGAACCCCCCGCGGCTTGAAGTTAACGGCGTTTTACAAGGGGGAGGGGGGGGACCCTTCGCAAGAGAGTCGCCACGAGTCGAAAGATGCATATTGCATGCTTGTAATCAAGACTGACAAAATACCGCGTGCGCGCGGCGGTCGATTCAGTGAATTATATATATTATATATACGGAGTATTTTATTTACACACGAGTTTCTCTTTCGGAACATGAGAGAATCATCACGACGGAATGCCATAGATCGGGACGACAATCTGAGATATTCTCTCGATATTTTTATTTGTGTAAGAGAAACTACATACATACTTCGTAAGCCAGAATAGCGCAACTTGGCGCATTGTTTTGCATTATATTTATTGAACATTATGTAATCGATGTTATATTTACTAAATTATTGATCCATGGCATATCGGAAAGCTTAATGTTTCGAGACCCGATTCATTGATCTTTCAAACTCGTAAAACTCGAAATATTATGACGTAATAGAGGAATATATAATCTATATAAATGATATTATTCCGCTTCGACGGACAAGAAAATGGCACGGTTATAGAAAACAAGAATAATTCAGTATTTTTCGACTATTCTTCAAACTTATGTACATATCTTATATATAGTGCTATGGTGAAGGTACTAATTGAAATCAAATTCTAATGAGTGCTGAATCCAGAACTATTTGCGCGTTTTAACTGCTTTAATTAAATTTTTTTTTTTTCAATATATTCTCATATCAAAATGAAAAATTTTTTTCCCTTTACTTTATAATAAATTATTATATAAAGTTTATCAAGTATAATTTACTCAAACTTAAAATAATTTTTATAATTTTATATCAAATATAATAAAAAAGTCTTTTAATAGAGAAACAAGTCCAAAAAATTATTATAAAAAACAGATTCTGTCATTGTTTCTATATATTATAATTTCCGATTAAATATTAAAAGATTGAAGACACTTTGAAACGCATGAGAAATTAATTTAATATATTAAACTTTTGTAAAGAGATATGTATAACGTCTTTATTATATAAGCTCTCAGAATTTAAAATTAAACACCGTCTGCGCCAATTCATTATTACAAAATTGAGAACAATAATAAATATTTATTATCGAAGCTATATGTATATAACATTATTCATTACGATAATATATAATATACATTGTCACATTATAAGAGAAAATATATACAACTTTGATTAAGTTGACAGATAAAAATAAAAGAATATCGAGGCCATTTTTAATTGGGGCCAATTCTATTCATACTACTTGTATTGCATTATGTGGCATAACGTGACTTACATATGAAGGGCGTAGATGTTTGCATTCCGTCCAATTCCCTTTAACGAGGCAATAACGGGCGTCTCGAAAAGCTCCCGTCTTCCTAACGCAAATCCCCCTAATTAAGAACACCAGGCGAGTATTAGAGAGGGAAAACCAGGGACAATGCTTATGCTCGAAGCCTAAGCGTTCTCTTCATTCCTAGAATCAGATTTCCCATTCTATTAATACTTGCATAATGCATGAAAAAAAAACAATATCAAAGAGATGAACATATATAACATAAAAGAACATAAAGGAAAATATAATAAAACATATATTATATATATATATATATATATATATATATATATATACTATTATCTTTGATTTGTTAAAATAAAAGTTAAATTTCAAGTTTAGTCTGTAAAATGTTTTTTAATACCCGTGAGATACTCAAAAATGTACAGCACATATTTTTATTCTGTATATCTTGTTAAAAAAAAAAAAAAAAAAAAGTTTATGACAATTTGTAATAATAATTGAATATATTCTTTTTAATTCTATACACAATTTTTGCGCGCGTTATTAAATCTTTACTATGTATATGTGTGTCTTTTTACAATTAAAAAGAAAGATTTCTGCTTTAATTAATTGTAGCCTTCTGCTTCTCGTGAGTATAAGTATTGCATATATACATAGAATATAAGCGTAACAATACAGAAAAATTTTCAAACATTTCGAATTATTACCTATATATCCTATATTCCATATAGCTTCCCACTACGTCCGAGAGATTTCACTTTACGATAAAGTTGTCGAACAATAAACATGTCACGCGATACATCAAATTGAAATTATAACCGTTAACACTTTATGAAATTATGATCTTCTCATTCGACCGTTTGAACGCCTTGCATTCAAAAACGCTTAGTCACTGCTATTGCCATCTGGTGGTGGCGTGGATATAACTATAAAATATATGTCAATAATTCGAATAGTTACATTATCGACAAGGTATAATTCCACCAAACAAGATGATGGACGATTGTCGATAATGAAGAAAATAGTGACATAAATATAAAAAAAGAATTTAATAAATAATAATCTTCATATAAAATACCTTTTAAACAATCTATGTATATTTACGTTATTTTTTTAAATGAATATTTTTCCTAAGAGGCATATTTAGAGTAAGAAACGGAATTCAATTTCCATTGACTGCGAATCGACCGCTTCTATACAAAGCCACGCCATTTTGGACGATTACGTTTTATATTATAGTGTGTGCGTATGTGTGTGTGTTTATGCTTGCGAGCTTAGTAGCTTGGCTTTTAATTGGCTTAATAACCCGATTAAAATGATTATGAAATAAAAAGCGATGCTTTTTGCGCATACCTGATTACGATCGTTCATTAATCGCTTTCTTGTTGCACTTTGACGCGAAATATGCGCGAAGGCGAGAGGTTCCGATCGCCAGATTCGGGGAATTCGAAATCGCGGCACCGATAATTTACGACAACTAATCATACACGAGGTTTACATTATGACACTGACTATGAGCATGAGACACTTCTAAATGCGGCGAAACTCATTTTTAGATAGTAAAAATAGCAAAATAGGGAGCGATTCGATCGGGATTTTGCGATCTGCTGCGATGTGTTGGGACGTATTCCGTGACTGATCTGATTCCGCGCCGCGCGCGATTCAAAATCATGAGTAGAGTGACACCAACATGTCAAACGACGAACTAATCGTAGACATTTTTCAAAGAGAAAAATAAAATTTGAACTAAATCATATTTTTTAATTAATAATCACTTACAACCGTATATTTTGCGAGCACACGATAATGAGTTTTTTTTTCTTGTAATCTACGGCTTTTAACACTATTTTAACAAGTTTGGTTTGATTCATTATTGGTGTACATTTAAGGCTATATCATCAACATGTGTGTGTGTATGTATGTACAAATTAATACTACGATTTAAATATTATTGTTGAACTTGTGGAAAATTAATTTAATATTTTGAATTGTAAACTTTCCCCTTCTTATTAATATCATATATCTAATTTCTTTTGGTTATTTTATATTATCTAGATAGATATTGTCTTTATATGGTTTTGTTTTTTTCCATTTTTTCCATCTTTTGTTTTCATCTTCCTCCTCTCCGCTTCTTGCTGTAAGCGATTTACACAATAAATTTACTGTAAGTTTTATTTTGCCGTTCCCTAATGAAATATTGAATACTTAAATTTTTATCAATTTTATATTGTTATTCGTATTGAATAATAATAATGATTCATATATATATAGTAGATATTGATTATCTTACTATTTTAATTATTTAGGCTATTGTAAATTGATCATTCTCTCTCTCTCTCTCTCTCTCTCTCTTCATCCATCCAACCGAATTCGCTATATCTCACTAATTAAATACACATTATACTGTAACAATACTATGTCGATGATTATTTCGACAGTACGCTGCAAAATATCGATTGTTGGTAAAAAATCGCGTCACAAAACACATGTGATTTTTGTCTATATATATATATATATACATATATATATATATATATATATACGCACCTCTAATCGGATAAAGTCAGCTGATTCTGGCTGATCCTCAGATGCAAGTGGCAGAAAAAGAGATGGTCAGGGACGAATATCCAGTTCCGCAGGAAGAAAAAAAAGAGAAAGACATGGAGGAAATAGTACAAACGGAAGAAAATAATCCCGATAACATCAATGAGGAAATGGAGTATACCGAGGACGAAGAACATTCCGACGACATTAATAGATGTCTGGAGGAAGATGTATATTCCGATATCGGTAAGTAAATAGATCTTCTTTTGGTGCACAAAAATACAAGTCACAATGTTGTAATATTTATAAATACAGTTACGAGGTTTATGACATTCCTAATGCATGTTGAGAAAATGCATAAATAATTTTGGAAACAAGCATTTAAATCGTAAAATTATTAAATTATTTTTATAATAATACAATAAAACAGGTATTAAAGCATTGGAAGACGAGTTGGACCATTTGGAAACTGCTCTGGATCATTTAGAAAAGAAAAATGATGACATACATGCAGAATTGATGGAACTGTTGCAATGCAATCGCGAGGCTAGGAAACAGTTTCAAGAATCACTGCAAATTGAGGGTCAACAATCACAGTGATAATTATTTTATATTTAGAAAACCACATACTTTATTATAATTTAGTATCTAGAATTACCACTTCATTATGTTACTTCTAACATTACCAATGAAACATTTCATATATCTGGAAGAATTATGAGAAATATGTTATGTGTCTGAACAAAGACAAATTATCAATATTTGAATATATAAACTTCAATAGCATTTCTGGTAATAGGAAAAATAGAATTATGCAATTTATCATATAATTACATACATGCATATATTTGGAAATATTAATAAACTTTTAATTTGTTTTATATGTACATAATGATGTTAAATTAAAATTGTAATTTTTATCGAAATATTATATCCCACATCTGAGAGATATATTATTTTACTTATTAAACTCTAAAAAATCTCTATTTGAAGAATATTATATAATACAATATTTTTTAAATGTAATTTGTAAAATATGCATTGATATAGATTCTAAGTGTAAAACATGCAAAAAATATAAGAATATACTTTTTGAAGTGGGATTCCATATATATACCCTAACATATACTTTTAAAAATAAAAATTTATTGCGAGAAAAATATTTCTAGCAATAAGAAAATGGTTGAAGGTCTTATAACATGGCGATTTTCATAAACTTGGGAATTTTACCGCGATTGTGTGCACAGTATGCTAAATAAAAAAGGAATATCCAAACCAGCAATAAATACATATGAACAGTTATGTGAGATTTATTTATGTATAAATAGATTTAACATAATTGTCTGTGGTAGTAAAAGTATTTTTATTCTGCTAATTTTTCAATTACACTTATATAACGGACTTAACAATAAAGAATTCTTACTAATAGATGCACAAATAAAAAAACTGATATGAGAGTCTTGTATATTTTAAATCTGCAAAATAAAATATCCTGTTATAGTATTCTTAATTAGTTAAGTAGTTTGAATGTATTCGTGTCTTAATATTCTATCTATGTAACCAAACATAGTATCTATTTACAGGCTGATAAAAGATAAAAATTGTTAACTTGATAAGCTAAATTATCTCCTGCTGGCCCCTACTTATATCTCTAAACAAAACAATTGTTCTTTTTATTATATATCGAGTGCAATCAAATAATTTACATCATAAAAAGTGATATTGGATAAAATTCAATATCTTTGATAATCTCTCTTTTCAATTTACATTTTCCATCAATCTTTGAATGTATCAATTTGATATCTCAAACAGTGCAGTATCAACACATTGCCATATGATATACACTCTTATTCACATGAAAATACTTTATTAATATTTCTCATCAAACAAATAGTGTTAATGTAAATGGATATTAGTAGGTGCTATCTCACAAAGTGTAAAAAATACACAAACAGTATAATGACTAATTATTTTAGTATAATTACTAAATACTTGTCACACCTATTAATGATTTTATTGAAATAAATTTATACTCAAAAAAAAAAAAAAAAAAAATTAACTTTTCAGTTTTTTTTTTTTAATTTAATTGCAAATAGTAAGATTTAAACCTTTATAAACAGGAAATGTATATGAATATGGCTGACACTTCACTATATATAAAATTACATAACAAATTTTACACACTAATTTAAAAATAATATACCTAAACTTTGCTTTTATAGTAAATATAAAAACTTAGCTATATTTATCTCTAAATCAAATAAAATATTAACATGATAATGATGCAATAATATGTAATTATAGTTTTTTACTATACAATTCGAATGGTTTAATTCACTCATTGCAGACGCACTAAATAAGTAAAGATAAGAGAAACACAAGTGACTTGCTGCATCTGCATCGGATGGATAAACACACTCTTATAAGAATGCAATATATCAACTTATTTTAGTAGAGGTTCAAGATTAAGATTTCAGTGTTTTAATCACAATTACGCACTGGGATTCCTTTAATAAACTTAGATATGCTCAATAAAAATTAGTCTAATGAATAAGATAATATTTTTTGTTGAATAAACTGCAATTTTCTCATATTAACTGTGCCAACACATATAAGTACAATATAGTAATCTCCCATTATCTTGTTATACATATTCACATCTATTAAAATTTGCACACTATATATATATACATATATATATATATATATATAGATATAACATCAAGGTCTCAGAGTTCGAATTGTATATATGAAACATAAGTTTTATGTACAACAAAAGTACAAAATTACTCTAGTCTCACAGGACTACATTAGAAATTGTAAAAGCTTCACAAAATACATAAAAAAGAAAAAATTATCCATATTATTCGCAGATTCAAGAATGTTTCTATTGCATATAAAACATTGAAATCTTGACTTGCACTATCACTTTTTACATTTTATCTTTTTTGTACCTTAGTATAATTTATTTAAGATAATTAACAATTCTGAAGGAATAAAAAAAATATGTTTATAAGCAAAAACAGCTTTCTTTAACATGTATGCATAAATTTATCACAATCTAAACTTTTTTATAATCTAATACTTCATACATTATATGAAAAACTGTTATCATTCTATATTTAATTCTCTTTACAAAGCTAATTGCAAGACATATTTTTCAGAAAAAAAAAATTGTTTGTAATTATATACAAGCAAGTAAGAACAAAAGTTTTATTAATATAACTCTCGTATTTGTTCATTTGTAAGATCTTGAAAAGCTATAATCATTTCGGTATCTAATTTCTTTTTAGTAATATATATAAGATTGCTCCTTTATACTTTTCATTATGTTTTTCATAAGATATTTAGATTATGTTGCCGCAAATACTATTCTTACTTTAAGTGATAGCAAATGCTGCAGAATTTGTAACAGCATATATATTTTATCCTCTCCTCTCCTATTTTTTACATTACCATTTTTTCTAGATAATTAATAATCCAGAAGTAGAGTACTCAGCAAAAAGCTAAAAAAACATAGATTTAAATGTTATATTACATATAACAAAGAAGAAATATATATATATATATATATACATACATATATATGAATACAGAAACCATAATATATATCGATATAAATACAAAGTTTATTTATATGCATTATAAAGTTCTGCTAAATTTTAATTTCTTGAATTTGTCTAAGATATAATACTTGAATTGAATAATGATTAGAATTTTAACTTGTTATATAAAAATTTAGAATACAGCGCATAATGTGTATATAACTGTGGAAATTTAAATTATACAAGCATTTACAAATTATTTAATATCAATATAAGATAAAAGTTTCATTGATTACTGTTGATAAATTTTAATTAAACTATAATAAAATAAGCGGTTTTACAGTAAACATATGTACAGTTGCTCTTTTTGTAATTATATATAAGAAAATATAAGTTTTGTTAAGCAAAAACTATCTGATTGCAATCAAATCTTGTATTATGGCAGCAAATCCAATGGATTTCATATGCTATAGATTTATAGATATATATAAACTAATCACTAATATCCTTTATAATTTAATAGAATCTCTATGATTGCAAAATACACTCCATTTAGAATAAAATATACTGAAAACCAAAGGATTGTAGAAATAGTGATAGCTACAACCTGTAAGAGAAACTATGCTAAATAATAACCTTCTATATAAGTGAGTATTTGCTTGAAACATGAATGATTTTTTATATCTTATGACAACAATGTTGATTAGATAGTGTTTATTACAACATTAAGCATATTCTGAACCTAATACATATTGAATCTATGCAATTGACTTTTAAAATAGAGAAGGAGAAAAAGATGATCTTAAAAATCCATTAAAAATAAGAGAGAAACTTACCATATATATAAATAATAGTGTTTACGATTTTAGATTCTTACTAGAGAGTCTTATTAGAGAATCGTAAAGCAAAGCCTTATCATCTAAAGGATCTAAAGAATCTGATAGAGTTGAAGTATATAGATTGTCTGTAGGTAAATCTGATGATGCCGTTGGTAGTGAAGATTCATTTTCCAATAACATATCATCATCAAAATCTAGTAGATTTTGCGTAGGATTATATGCAATAAGTTCTCCACCAGCAGATCCATTGATAGAATCTGCAACTGTATATAATTAAAGTTAATCAGTAAAAATAAATTAAATTAATTTTGATTTAATTTCGTTACTTTTATTCAATTCAATACAAATTATAAAGTTATTTTTATATAAACATACACAGATACATAGAAACCTTTTTTAAGATTTTATCAATCCAAAAATTTAAGAAATATACAAAAAAAGTTTCATGCGTTTTTTTACATTGATAAATAAAGAAATGTTTAATTTGACATTAAAAATTGCAAAAACTCACGTGCAGTGTTATCATTATCTTTTCCACAATTCGGGTTCAATTCTGGATTAATTGGTAATCCAAATGTCATTGGATCATCTGCGCCAAACAGCTAAGAAAATGAAATAAAATATTAATATTAAGTTCTTTATTAATTTATTATTTTTATAAAAAAATTTTTTCTTTTTTTTGAACTTAAATATTTCGAAATTATATTTATTACCCCAAGGAGAGTATTAGCATCAATGGTGTAACCTTCACCACGCAAAATTTCACGCAGATTGTCCAGATCTGTTTGCATTGTTTCCAGATGATTATCCATTTGTTCCCTACATATAATGTTACAAATGTAAAAAGTTTTAGTATTATATAAATAAAAAATATTGTATATAAAATGAAAAACAGATGGTATATAGTTTTTAGCATTAGATAAAGTCTGAAAAATAATCATTTATATGATAAGACACACAATAACAATTTTCATGAGAAATATGTATTTTTCCTATATAATAAAAACATGTATTCTAACATTATATAAGTATAATCAACCACAAAAGTACAAAACAATCCAAAAACATTATATTAGTAATATCAAATACATATAAAACTTAACATCATATACAAATCTATAAAAAATGCCTAAATTTGACCTTTATAAAAATAAAGTTAATCTAATCTAATAATATAGATTCTATAAAACGATACATAAAGAAGAGAAATATATTTTTTATATTTTGTCAATTAAAGATTAAATAGCTATCTATTTAAATAGCTAGTAAAAATTAATATTATTATATATATACTACACAAAATAATTTATTTTAAAAAACAATATGGAAATAGGTAAAAAAACTTTATCTTAAAAAAAAAAAAAAAAGAGAGAGAGAGAGAGAGAGAGCTTTGTATTCAACATAAAATATACAAAATGATACGTTTTCACCTCTTTCTGTATGATTAATGATTTCCACAATTGAGTGGAAAGTATTGTTACTGAATGCAACCTTACATTATCCATGGTCTGTGCCAAACTTACATCGGTTCTAACCTGTAATTAGCTTCAGATATGTCAGAAGAATTGACGCAACTCAAAGATAAATCTTTTGATGAACTTGTGCTTGCTTTGTTGCCATTGTCTTTTTCATCCTGCAAAACTTTTGATGTTCCATTTTCATTGCGCTGTTCAATATCACTTGCTGCTAAAGCAATTTTGTCATCATCGATTTGATCAAGTTCCTGATTCGCTTGATTAGGTTCTTTGACATCAATTTCTTTATTCTTCACAATATTTTGAATGTTACTGTTGTTGATTATTTCTGGAACAATTAAGATATCTTCTAGCTTCAGCATGGATGCATCATTATCTAAGGCTTCCATATCATCTTCCATGTCAGCTGAGTTTTCCATGATATCAGTGTGATGCTCAACATCTTGAGATTCATTAATATTTGCCGCCATCGCTGCGAGTTTAGAACTGCGTATTGTCGCCACAGGTACAGGTTTAGAACCGATAGATTCTTTTTCAAGTAAAGCGAAAGTCGCAGGAGTTTCCTCGTTGACGGGCATTTCAAGTAAATGCAATTCTTCCCTATAAACGAAGACAAGCTATTGCCAATCTTCATTTTAATTTTAAAATGCTCTTCAGACTTAATCTTTGTCTATATTAAACTACTATGCTATATTTATCTCAATAGTATAGAATGGGAACATGGAAAAAACTATATAGTATATTCTAAAGCAATATAAGAAATAAGAAATCACATGCAATCATTCTCAACATATTGTACCAATAAGTAACAGAATATCGTAGTACAAAAGCTGTCAATAAGATAGAAAAAATAACAGGTGTATCTAATATAAGACGATATTATGCAGATATTATTATGTATACAAGACAAATTCTTTTGTGACAACAAAATAATGTCATATATACGAAACTTTTACTGACGTATAAAGAATAATATTATATTTTTATCAATACCCATATATAAGCAAATCTATAATTGGCTTCTTTCTAATTATATTAATTGAGATACACAAAAACTATGTTGATGTTCAATACCAAAATTAATTACTGAACAATATAGATTTGTAATATAGATATGTCTTGAAATAATTTTGGTATTTCATTTAGAGGAAAGATATTAAAAATATTGTAAATAAAATATAGATTTACAAGATAAACTAAAGAGATCTAATATATATCATTGTAATAAAATAAAATATAAGTTTTTTTTTTAGTAAACAAATAAACAATATAAATTAGTTATATATAAGATAGTCAAATTGTGCATAAATATGGAATGATATGAAAGAAGCAACCAAGGCTTTTATTAAAAATTCTGAAAAATTAACATGCTTTCCATAAAAAAATAACGATAAGAGATTATGAGAATTTATTTCTTCTTGCATTATTAAACATGTTCTCTGAATGATTCTTTTTGTAATATTTGATTTAAAGAAATGTTTTGGCTATTATATAACTTTCTCATACATATATTTCTCTATGATATAATCATTTAAAAACTGGTAAGAAATGGGCTAAAAGTCCATTAATCTTTTTATAATCACTTAAATCTGATGTTTCATGCAAAATAATAGCATATATTTGAAATATCTCCAACATAATAAAATAGCTATAGACAAATATATCTCAGAATACCAACACCAAGTGAAACAAAATAATGTTAACCTTGGTTTTCCTCCATTTTCCAATGGTGGGATCAAAATTTTGACAGGCACCTTGTTTTTCCTCCTGGTAATATTTAAATACCATTTGGATAAGTGTAATATATAAAAAGATTTTGATATTCGCATACAAATAATAAATATTGTTAGAAAATTCTATAAAATTTAATAGAATACATATTCTCCTAAAATTTGATAGAATAAATATTTCAATTTTTTTATATCTCAATGTATAAGATACCTTACAGAATGGATGAAAAGTAAATATATTATTCATCTCTTCCTCTCTTTCTCTCTCATAAAATAGAAATTAGTATCTCAAAAAATAAGTTATTTAATATCTTAATACCTTTTCTAACATAAATCAACTCCAAATTTTGTGAAGAGAGAATAATGTTAACTTTCCATATGTTAATATATGTGTATATATATCACACATGATGCAAAAAATATAATAAATTGAACATACTTCTTTTTGCCCTTACAAAGACGTTTCTTCCTCGTATCATTTTCATGTGAACTAATTTCGATATCGTTTTGTAGCAGAGTCATCTCAGGATTCTCGATTAATTGAACATTTTCCATATTTTCATCATTTATTGACGTTTCAATATATTCTTTTGGACTATGGACAGTTGGAGCTCCATCCTCCAACATCCTAGATTAAAAGATTATTAAGATATTTATTAATATCTCACCAAGAGTTACAATATATAATACATATATGCATTAGATATAAGCTATTAAATTTTTCAAATGATAAATATAATTTTCAATGATAAATATAAATATTATATAGCTCCAAGTTAAAATAATTTATGTACTATACAGAAAAGAGTAATAAATTTTTAATCAAAGTGTGAATTTCCATGTTTTAATATTAATAGCATATGCGTGTATAAATGTGTGCACGTGTGTGTATAAAATCTATTCACTTACTCAGCGACAATATATTCTGAATCCAAATCAGATTCTGATGCATCAAGTTCATGAATAATTGGTCCTGTAGGAGACGCTTGCGGCTAAAAAATAAATATTTATTATTATAGTATGTATGTGTGTTTGTGTGTGTGCACAAAAAAAGGACATGAAAAATACTGCAATGATAGTATTACCTTTGACAACTTGCTTTGTTTACGTGTACGATTTGAATCATCTATCATTAATGGATATCGCCGCTTGACAGGTAAACCACTTCCTCTCGGTGGTTGTACAAGAGTAACAAGAAATTGAATAAGCTTGTTAACAATTTGTTGTTGTTTCAAGTGTTTTTGTCTTAGCATTGCTATTTCTCTCCACAATGCCTCGTTTTCATGTTTTATTGCGCCTAATTTAGTATCCAAACTTTCTTGTCGACCTCTCATACTTCTTACTTCTGCTAACACTTTGGTCATTAATTCTGGTTTCATAGGAGTATGAGCTGCATCTTGACTCTTGCTAGATGCAATCTAATAAAAAGATAATAGTTTATTTATTGTAATAATATATTAATGTAATATTTATGTTTAATCTTAACAATTTAGATTTTTAGAATTGTGTTCTTTATGCTATCATTAAGATTTCTTGGACATAATTTTTGGTTTTGCTTTAATACCTATAAAAAAAAAAAAAAAAATATTTTATACATTTCAAAATATATATGAAAAAGTTAGATTAGTGTATTTATTTTAAAAATTGCAATTGTTCTTTGCACTCAATTTATTGCGCCATTGCAGCATGTCTAAATGTACTCACTTTTCTTTTAATATGCTCCAATAGATATGGATGTCCTTTGTAAAAAAACTGATGTGCAAATTCCATTTCATCTTTATCGCACTTTAGGCCACCCAATTCTACGGATACTTTCTTGTGGAATCCATCTTAAATATATAAGTAATATTAATGGATATATATTTTTATCCTCTTTTTCATTATCTATATTTTCAAGATGTTTTATATAACATGCAATAACTTACACATATTTAACTGCCGTACAAAACTAGCCATATTATTGTGTTTATAATAATGTGGCAATAATTCTCTCGCAAATTTTGCTTGATTTTTAATGATAAAACTTTTTCCATTCTAAAAAAAATATGAAATATATAAGATTATTTATCTTTGTAGCAAACTATTTATAATAAACTTAATTATAGTATATATAGTATACATAATAAACTTATTTATAATAAGTATAGATTATCCATTGTAATCTTAAAATATTACATTATAGTCTGTTTCTAATTAATATACTATATATCTTACAATATATACTATATAAATTATGTGTATAAACTATATCGCCTTATATTGAAAGGCTTATCAAATCGATACAACTGTTATACAACAAGAAAGTGAGAGAGAGAGAGAGAGAAAGAGTCACAATAATATTATATAAATTATATAAATATATTTTATAAATTATATTATTTAATAGTTAATATAATTTAATATTTTAATATTGAGGTGCGGAGGGTGAGCGCATGTGATGAATTCTACGGCCTTTCCATTGGCTGCCGTCGAAACCGGATGTCCAAATGTCCTCTGAATCTCGCCATTTCTGCATCGCAATATATGACGCAATATAAAATTGTTACTTAAATCCAAATTACGCTGCTCGTATCAATCGTATCATAAGATTTGTATGAGTTCATTGTCATTTCTTCGCGCGAATAAGGGGTGTGTTTTCTTATTTATATATTTATTATAACATATTTCCTAAATCTCTATATTTTAAATCTCCCTTTGTCTATATCAACAGCTAATGCTCCGCGTTTCTCTGTATGTATTTTATATATCTATAAAGCAATGTAGGAGAAATAAAAGAATGAGAAACCCCGTCATCAAAAGAAATGCCCGGAATTAGCACACAACGGATGCGTCCAGTAGCACGACCATAGACATAGTATATCTAGACCGAGCGTTTGCCTTTATTTAAGGAGTGGGGGCCGATGCCCACGTAGAAAAGGACATACTCTGTTTCGTCCCCTTGCGTTCTTTCTCGCTCGCACAGAGCATAGCGCTCTCTTTCGTCATGCTACGTGCGAGCGAGAGAGAACGCAAGGGGCACGAAACAGAGTATGCGTCGAAACCGGATGTCCAAATGTCCTCTGAATCTCGCCATTTCTGCATCGCAATATATGACGCAATATAAAATTGTTACTTAAATCCAAATTACGCTGCTCGTATCAATCGTATCATAAGATTTGTATGAGTTCATTGTCATTTCTTCGCGCGAATAAGGGGTGTGTTTTCTTATTTATATATTTATTATAACATATTTCCTAAATCTCTATATTTTAAATATAGCGTTTCTCTGTATGTATTTTATATATCTATAAAGCAATGTAGGAGAAATAAAAGAATGAGAAAACCCGTCATCAAAAGAAATGTCCGGAATTAGCACACAACGGATGCGTCCAGTAGCACGACCGATTACTGAGCGTCCAGTAAGCAATTATTCGTGATTGGGTGCGTTCAGGACACACAACCGTTGAGTAGCAATCGAATGTGATTGGTTCTTACTTCTAGAACCAACAAATCAACGTCGAGTATCTCTCTTTCAAAAAATATGTTAACGTTGCTTGAAAATTTAATACGAGTTAGTGTCCCGCTTGACTCATGCGGTGGGAACAGGATGTAGCTGTACAGAAAATACTTCCGGCTTGTTCGAGAGAAGCAGATTTCACTTATCGTTCGTCAGGTGAGGATCGTTTCATACAAGTTGATAGAAATATTTATACAACGACAAGGCGTGAAATATTGGACGAGAACGGATTTAATGGTAATAGCAATAGATTCTAAATGATATCTGATTGCAGATGGCAAATAGACGGCGGAATATATACGGATTGCGGTTGGGAGTCTCGTAGCATTCCTCGATGCATAGCAAGAATTCACGAACGAGCGAGCGAATCATACGTTCTCATTTTCATAGGAAATGTTTCATTTCTTATGCACCACATACAACGTGTGAACATTTATTTACCATAAAACGGATTTAATTTTTAACGAATGTGAGTGTGGCCTTCCTATTTTCCAAAAAAAAAAAAAAAAAAAAAAAAAAAAAAAAAAAAAAAAAAAAAAAAAAAAAAAAACC